CCTATGTTTGAGTATCCCGATGACGATCGCACTTGTGTGTTGAACATCTCAGCTTCGCCATTTTGTTTCTTTTTTAATTGATTCACAAATGTAACTTGATCAAAATTTATTTTTCCCCAGAAACGAATTATATATTATCCATCTGATTTATAGTTGTTTCGATGCAATATTAATAATACAAAGTTTAACCGTTGTGTTAATATTAAATGCTAAGTAGAGAAAAGCACGAACTTACCTGAAATAAATTGAGGTCTGATAGGATGTGACTTTACTCTGAATTTCTGACGCTATCAGTCTGGTGTCTTTCTTGCTAAATGCAAGTGTTTTATACGTTTCTGAGTAAACATAACACCATCTTCTGTCAGTATGTCAGCAATATTTTTCCGAGCAAAGAGCCAATTAAAATCAGTGGCTTATGTTAGGGAGAACACCAAGCCTTAGGGGATTTTGTTTTCTCGGGTGCTTTTTACTTCCGGTTAAGACCCTGTGGTCATGACCTTGTGCGTGTTTGTTAGGATTCTTTATAAAATAACTGATATCGCGTGCACCCTGATTGGTAAAATGCACCGTAAACTCCCACAAAATTGAAAAATATTTGTAAAAGCAATACACCGCACTTTCTATCGGCTAATCGTCGTTATAACCGAGATGATGTGATAACACTCAAAAATTGAGTTTGTCAATCGCTTGCCTCCGGTTTGTGATTACAAACTTCTATCGTCTTTTCCCAACAACCCGCGTGGGATCTTACGCCGGTAAACCGTGGAAAGTGCCGTACATTGTTTACATAGCTATAGGAATTTTTTAGCATGTTGTAAATTAAACCGACCCTCAAAACAAATTTATAATTTTGGTCCTAACTCATGACAGGTGTCTTTGCTACCAGACGATTTTATGGGCTATGAAAATTCAATTCGGGAATTACTGGCTATAGAAGGAATCATCGGGAGACTTCGATTTCCATAGACTGAGAGACGTTTGGCGTCACTCATCTTAGGAACTGAAAATATAGAGCTATGAATCCAAGCAAGTTTAGAGTACTTATGATTTCTCGTATAATTTATCAGTTTGCACTACAATTCCTGAATTAATCTTTAGGGGAAAAAGGCATACGATATCCGTATATTTTCCGATCATGATGGGTGTAAAATAATCATTACTCAGGGAAAGTCCCGCGGATATGATTTGAATGTGATCGACTGGGAATAGCCAACGGAAGTTAGAATTCCCCCGAGATCAAAGAGCATAACGAACTTCCTGTGTAAAGTTATCAAAAAAGCTGAGTGTAGCATTTTTTTGTTTTCTCGCAATACTACAGAATTTTGGCTTATTCGCCCTGTCTTATACCTTGTTATTACCGATTCGTTTTCGAAAAATTTGGCCAATGTTCTGTTGTGTAGATGACACGTAAATGTCTATAATGTAGGAACGACGACTCCACAAAGGGGTAATTTTTTTTAAAACTAATTAAAACAATCGAACGCAAGGGCAGAGATCAACAACGATCTACTTGTTCACCAGATAATAAAACACTCAAAAGAGCGTTTGTTTAAAAACATTTTGACAATTCTTAGTCACATCGTTCATCAATTTTTCTTCACTTCGTTTCAGTTCTTCCATTTCATTTATTAATTTAATTCCATGTTTCATCGGGTAAGAACGAGAGGGATGAAAAAGTAAAGAAAGAATTTTGAGAAATAAAAACAGCACCTGTAACCACAGAGGTAAATCTTGAGGTTTCCAAATAAATAAATATCCGGCATATGCGCTAGTTATAAGTTATTATTATTATTATTAAGTTATAAGTTATTATTAGTTATAAGTCAGTCTGCTTTTAGTATTTTTTTTCCTTTTTCCGGAAATATGCTACTTCTTGCATGGAATGTGTGTACCAGTTTTTTTTTTCTTTTGGAGACAAGGACAAGGACAAGGAGAGAGACGCTGATGGACTAAAATGAGAGAGAGGTGTAAATATGTAGTTTGCTTTGGGATACGCCTGGAGATATTATGGAACAAGATAGCTACTTATAACTTGATACTTTGATGGTCAAGTGTTGTTTATGTGCTTGTCTGAGTCAAAATTCTGTTTGTTTTTTAACTCGTTTCTTGATCTTTTTAATCAATAAATGTATTTCAAAGGAATGGCGTAGCCCCCTTCAACCAATATAACTTTTTTTGTTAAAATATTGATGATAACAGAAGATCTATTAAAAAATGGGTCTTTCATTCATTTGGCTTGTTTTCACTGACAGTTTGGATAGGAATTATAGCGAGAGAGAGAGACTTCTTTTCCATAAGCTGAATCAAGTTTCGCGCGGTCAGTGTTTAGTTCGAAGAGTCAGGCGATCACCCAGCATTCTTCGTGGGAAAATCTAAAAGCTGAAGTTACGCTGGTTTCACCCGACAATCAGGGAATTACGAACTTCCAGTTCAAAGCTAACGATAAAGATAATTGAGATGTTCTTCAAGTTTTCACGGAGTGACTATATGTTTTGGCTGTTTTGCTTCATTTTATTCCTATTATAAACAAATTTGGAAAACTACGTATGCAGTTGACTCGCTGAGACACGTTTCCTCACTCTGCGTTATGATTCTGACCTCCCACTAGGTGAAAAAATAGATAAACGAATGATTAAACATTTTAGAGGGATCTGAACGTCACGACTGGTGCACAAAGCTTGATTTGATTTAAATTTTTTTTTTAAGTTTGCAATTTGAAAATTATTTTGGTGAAATATGAATCAGTTCATCATTGTGATTATAACGCGCTTAGCGAGGGCTAGTCGTTTTGCAGATAAAAGGTCACTAATTTCAACTGATAGCTTGACTCTACAATCTATACCGACTCTATGTCTTGAGACAAACGACTGAAAATCCACATTGATGTTCTCCGCAATTTTCCATTCTAGTTATTTCAGTGCATTATCCCACTCTACTTAGTTTTGGCTCACTGATGTTGACACTTATTTTCCTTGACGCAAAAAAAGACTTGAAATATCAAGATTTATCTCCCTTAACTGTCACAATAACACGAGGCTATGGGCAGAATTACTTTATTACGGCGTCACTCACTGACGCTAAAATTGGTATTGACACGCGTCTACATGTTCTGACGGAAATTACAAGGGTAAGACAAACCTAGACATGGAACTTATCATCCTTCACGTTAATTCAAATCGAAAACACCGCCAAAAAGTGACAGAAAGGACTGTAGATTCGTATGTCTTTGGTTCCTTCAGACCCTCCGCCAGTGTTTTCCTCTGTGGATTAGTAAAATAAGGTCGACGAGTCTTTTACAAATACAAATTGTTTTCCGAGAAAATGACGTCAGCATAATTTATCAAGATTTTCTCGGAAAGAAGCAAAGATTGACATGTGAGACAACACAGAAGCGAGAGGTCTCCGAGAGATTATTATGTCAGCGTTAATTATCGAGATAATCTCAGAAAGATACTTGGTTTGACCAGCGAGATGGCACAGAAGCGAGTCAGCGCGTAAAGGATTTATTGCTATGCTGATGCTTGCTCTGCCTTTCGTTTAACTTTCATATTTTTAGTAAAAGAAATAAAACCACATAACCCAACTACGCTAAAATCAGTCAACAGCTGAATTTATAGCTTGGCTGACATGCTTGTGAATATTCCGACGGAAAAGACAAACCCAGACATGGAACTAGTAATATCTTTCATGTAAATTCGAATCGAAAACACCGAAAAAAGAGACAGAAAGGATGCAACTGAAGAGGTAATGACGCTAAAATCAGTCAACAATTAATATATAGCTTGGCTGACACGCTTCTGCATATTCTGACGGAAATTACAAGGGTAAACCTAGACTTGGAACTAGTCATCCTTCACATTAATTCAAATCGAAAACACGGACAAAAAGTTCCCTCAGACCCTCCGCCAGTGTTTTCCTCTGTAGAATAGCAAGATAATGTCGACGAGTCTTTTACAAATACAAATTGTTTTCCGAGAAAATGACGTCAGCATAATTTATCAAGATTTTCTCGGAAAGAAGCAAAGATTGAAATGTGAGACAACACAGAAGCGAGAGGTCTCCGAGAGATGATTATGTCAGCGTTAACTATCGAGATAATCTCAGAAAGATACTTGGTTTGACCAGTGAGATGGCACAGACGCGAGTGAGTGCGTAAAGGATTTATTGCTATGCTGGTGTTTGCTCTGCCTTTAGTTTAACTTTCGTATTTTTAGTAAAAGAAATGAAACCGCATAACCCACCGACGCTAAAATCAGTCAACAGCTGAATATATAGCTTGGCTGACACGCTTCTGCATATCCTGACGGAAAAGACAAACCTAGACATGGAACTAATCATCCTTCATGTAAATTCGAATCGAAAAGACCGCAAAGAGAGACAGAAAGGATGCAATTGAAGAGGTAATGACGCTAAAATAGTCAACAGTTAAATATACAGCTTGGCTGACACGCTTCTGCATGTCTTGACGGGAATTACAAGGGTAAAACAAACCTAGACATGGAACTAGTCATCCTTCATGTAAATTCAAATCGAAAACACCACAAAAAGCGGCAGAAAAGGGTGCAATTGAAGAGGGAATGAGAATCTGAGGATTTGAAACAAAGCTGGCTTACATACCAACAACACAGGCTTGCTGTGATGATGAGACGTGAATCTCTTGAATCTCGCTTTTACAAGAAAAATAATGATACTAATGATCAAAATAAGATGAGGATGACAATCAAAACAATATTCCCGGGAGTTGACTTGATATTAAACTATGTAATACTGTGAATGCTCTGTGAGATTCTAAGAAAAAATAGTGAGCATGGCCTGGTGTTTCGAAGATATATAGATGAAAAAAATCAAGTACCTTCACTCTCAGTTGCTACCATTTTATTTCATTTTCTTTCGATGTACTTCAATCACTGATTGATGATTTTCCTAAATCGTCAAACGAGTTTTCCTTCGACGCTCTACAAACTACCATTACTACTAGTAAATGATGATTAATTAGCAAGAAATTCAAATCATAGTTTAATAACAACCCTCAAAAAATAAAGATCAAATGTCTCTCACAAATGATGATAAACGAAATCATGCTCTCTTTGAGTTTAAAAGCAGTTCCACAGGTTTAGTTGTTCTGGTTTTCCCGCTTGTCTGCAGTAGACTGAGCGCGCGAAGCAAAGCTTCCTTTAGGAACCCCACCGCCGTGCTGTTTTGCTTCTGAACTCTGAATCCTTGATGCCGCTTCTTTATTCATCGGATTTTTGGGCTGTGCGTTTCCTCCAGAGCTTTGACTTCCTTGCTTGTCCATGGTTCTTTAGTTCTCTTGCTTCTAAAGTCAAATTCATTTGTGACGGAAAAAGAGAAAGAAATGAATGTCATGTAGTGATCGGTTTTACGATGAGTGCCTTTCGTGTATACATCATTATTTGAGGCGGAAAGAAATAAGGATATCATGCAGTGGAATATATGAATTTCAAAGCACTTTCAGGTCGATTCAACCTTTAGGGTTGTCTTAGGAAACGGCTCTGTGGGATCAATCTTCAGATAGTAAAAGGCTTTGCTCATTTTTATCGTAGTTGAGAGATGTGAAACTATCAAAAGCACGCTTGATAAAAGAGTATTCGAAATCGAAGATTTTCCTTTGAAATGTCCACATCCACGCGTTTCTTATCATCCTGATATGCATTGTCAACAATACTAACATCGAATGAAACCCTCCTCGTATTCTAAGAAGTCTATTCTGTACCTGAGAGGCTGGATAGACAAACTTAACCAAGGATCCTCTAGATTTTTCGTACGATTCAGTCAAGAAGAACACACGACTTCATTTTCATTTTCATATTCTTGAAGATCGCCGCGATCGATGGCGAGTGAAGGCTATCTTAAGGATTTTCATAAGATGCATTTCAAAGCGCTTTGGTTTTCGAAGAGACATGCGATCATTGTAAGTTAGTAAACTGAATTAACCTAAGATTGCGTGTGTATTGCGAAAAAAGCTCGACGGCGCGTGATATAAAAAAATTTGAACGGTTTATCACTTTGGAAGCTATCCTAGCTATGTACTAGTGCATTCGGCGGCCTCTAGTTCTCCTTTCATTGGATTTGACTGCATTCTTGGAGGAATATAATGTTACGAACTGAAACTGCAAAAGCAAATGATTAAGGCAACTAAGTATTGACTTACGTTATGTGAGTGTAGAAAAGACTCGTATGTCTTTGGTTTTCTCAGACCCTCCGCCAATGTTTTCCTCCGTAGAATGATAAGATATTGTTAGCGAGTCTTTCACAAATGCAAATTGTTTTCTGAGAAAATGACGTCAGCATAATTTATACAGGTTTTCTCGGAAAAAAGCCAAGATTGACATGTGAGACAAACAGAATGGAGAGGGTTTCGAGAAATGATTATGTCAGCGTAAATTATCGAGATAACCTTACAAAGATACTTGGTTTGACCAGTGAGATGACAAGAAGCGAGTGAGCGCGTAAACGATTTGCTCTGCCTTTCGTTTAACTTTCGTATTTTCAGTAAAAGAAATAAAACGGTATAACCCACCGACGCTAAAATCAGTCAACAGTTGAATGTATAGCTTGGCTGACACGCTTCTGCATATCCTGACGGAAAAGACAAACCTAGACATGGAACTAGTCATCCTTCATGTAAATTCGAATCGAAAACACCGCAAAAAGTGGCAGAAAGGGTGCAATTGAAGAGGGAACGAGGATCTGAGGATTTGAAACAAAGCTGGCTTACATACCAACAACACAGGCTTACTGTGACGATGAGACGCGAATCTCTGGAATCTCGCTTTTACAAGAAAAATAATGATACTAATGATCAAAATAAGACGACGATGATAATCAAAACGATATTCCCAGGAGTTGACTCGATCTATAGAATGATAAAATAGGGTCAACGAGTCTTTGACAAATACCAATTGTTTTCCGAGAAAATGACGTCAGCATAATTTATATAGATTTTCTCGGAAAGACGCTTGGATTGACATGTGAGACAACACAAAAGCAAGAGAGTTCCGAGAAATGACTATGTCAGCATATTTTATCGAGATGATCTTGTAGAGATACTTGGTTTGACCGGTGTGATAACACAGAAGCGAGCGCGTAAATGATTTATTGCTATACTGGTGTTTGCTCTGCCTTTCGTTTAACTGGCGTATTTGCAGTAAAAAGAAAAAAGCCTAAACTTTAAAATTTAGATAAAAATATTTGTCTCAGCGGAGTCAGTCCTAATTCTAGGAAAAGCCAACGCATGCTGCTTCGAACACGTGCGGGTATTTCTAAGAAATTCGTCCTTGCTAGGAAACAAACAGCCAAAGGAGACATCCAGAACAAAGAAACGTCAAGCTTGCATTATTGATTAAATTCCCTTTCTTTGTTCTTTTATTCCAGCATAATTCATGCCATGTGACTTTCAATTGTTAGCAGGTTAAGACCAGTTTATATCATATGTTTAACAGTTTTTGCAGAGTATCTATATATTTCTGTTTACGTTGGACTCCAAGAGCCAGTGCTGTGCTTGAGCATAACTCAATTAAATAAAGATAGATTGAAAAGGACAAGTAAGAGCAAATTTTGGGATGTATTACTTGGTTCAGAGGCAAAGAAAAAAGTCCATAAGATTCTCATCGACATTATCTCCACTCTCGAGTAATTCCGAGAGGGTGAACTCCAAAGGGATTTACCAGAATAAGATTCACTCAATCATTCGGAAAACTGATTTAACTTCCGTTTTATTAATAGTATATGAAAGCCCCTTAGCACTCAACTCTAAGAGTTTAGACACAGCTAAGACAATGGTCAAAGGAATTATAACACCAGTTTGGTAATCATTAATTGTTAATTGTTATGTCATCAGGGCTTATTATCTGTTTCAGGCTCATTTCCCTTCTTCGTCCTTCGCTGCTTCATTCTTGGCTGCTGCGCGCTGAGCGCGGGAGGGAAAGCTTTCTTTTTCAACTTTACCGTCATTTTTTTTCGCTTCAGCGCTCTGAATACGTGCTGCTGCATCTTTGTCCATCTCCGTCTTCGGTTTCCCTTCAGATTTCTGACCGCCTTTATCGTCCATTGTATCAGTTTTCACTACGACAACAAAGAAACCGCTGTTTGTAGCTTTTGCTCAGAAAACGTTACTCACAACCCCCACTTTGATTCGGTTGGTAACAAGAATAGTTATTAAATGTTTATATTTTGCACATTTTCCTCAACGATTCAAGATGTGCTTTATTCACTTTGCACAATACAAAGAATAAACCTTTGTTCACAAAACACGTTACAAGTCTGTAGAAAACTGAAATAGCGGGGTATACGTAAATACTGAAGATGTCTATCTAGTGAAGTCTATTTGTTTCTTACTCTGTTTTCTCAATGCAATAATGAAGGCTTGTATCACAAACGGTTTGCTTGGTAACTTTGCAGAACATTAACATCGTCAATTATCTTCAACCAATTTCGTACCCGATAGGAGATTTGCCACCCTTAGACTTCATTAAACTGTCGTATTTTGATGACAAATAGGAGAGAGATATACATAGTATATAACTTACATTGTAATTGAGCGAGAGTCAAAATTAAAGCGCGAATTACTCCTTGCCAATTGCACGAATCTTCTTGCTTTGTCTTCTTTCGTAAACTGTTTACGAGCTATGTGATACCCAGGTATTTAAATAACACAGTCGATTCTCGGAAAAATCATGTCAGCATAAATTATGATAATGCTTTCTTGGAAACTTAACCCTTTCACCCTAAGATCAGTATACATTTTCTCCGTAATGTTCTCTATATATTTCCCGTGGTACTGACAAAGAGAATTTGTCTTCTCTCTGAAACTGTTTACGAGCCATGATACTCAGTTATTTAAAAAGCACAGTCGATTCTCAGAAAAACCGTGTCATTAAAAATCATGATAATGTTTTCGTGGAAACTTAATCTTTAACACCCTAAGATCAGTATACATTTCCTATAGTGCTGACAAAGAGAATTTGCTGAACAATCAACAGCTTCTTTAGTTGGTGGTTATTAAATTTACTCTCGACCTCAATGTTTGTTTTAGGAGGATACTGATACGAGAAATTAGTTGCTGATCACTCTTAGGGGTTAGAGAGTCAAAGCTGTTTGTTTCAACCAGTAACTGATACCGGAAGAAGACTCAGGGGCGCTGGTGACTATTTCTTTGCTAGTTTCCTCAACCGGAACTCTTGCTAGAATGCAACTAATGTTATGATATGCATGTTTACATAGCCGTGCATACATAGAAATACAGGCCATCATGGTTCAATCCGAGTCATCATTTAGCAGGATTAAGAAGTATTCCTTGATATTCCAATCGCGTGCGACGATTCTGCGTCAGAGGTAATTAGCCTTGGAGTTTATGCTCCCGGCAATAAAATATATTAACATCTCTCTACTTATTAACGAAATTTAAACGCCGAAGGCGAATTTCTTTTCTTTCGTTTATGTTTTGAGCCTTCCCTTCACTTTACTCTGATATCATGATTACTGTTACGCCATGAAACATCGTGGTGCTGAGCATTATATTGGGTGCTTTGCGAAAATGTTTTCTTAAGATAATAACAGTGCCTTGTTTTCTCAACCATTACTATTGTTTCCAATTTGATTTTATAAATTATTTGGGTTTTGTCTGATATTTTGTCTCCAATCAATCAATGTTGTTCAATTCAAAATGCTTGATAGTCATTGGTTGTAATATTTCCTTCCACAAACGATTGTTTTTCAAAACGCGAGCATTTGCTTCACGCGACAACCGAAGTTAAAATTTACCATCTTTATTTTTCTATTTGCACTCTTTTCTTTGCCAGAATATTTTGTCGTGTTTCTGATCTCTGAATAAAAAATCCTATGATGTCATTAATGACAGTCATCGTCAGCCACCATACTTAACAGCGACTCAGAGAAGAAAGAGCCTTTTCATTCTGTCTTTGGCTTGAGGTCCGATAAATAAATGCCTGGGACGATTTTACCACTAATATCACCACCTCTACCTTAATTTATGGATCAATCAATAAATTCCAAATACTAAGTTGGTTTAATTAAGGAAACTGGGATCGACATATAAACATCCTCTCCATCATAAGCTGGAAACCTGAAAGTCTTTTGTAACTTGTTTATTTCCAACCAGTGTATGACACTTCATGAAATCCAGTCATTCTGAAAATTCTGTGGGCAAGAGTTTATTTCCGAGACACAAAAGAAAGTCTATTTACAAGTAAAAATTCATCGCGCTTTTAGGCAATTCACCAGGTAAACCCTAAGCGCTTCCTACTATCGCCAGGATTGCCGTAAATTTTCGTGTGTGAGCCTTTCACTGTTCCATCGGAGTAATTTGGCAACTGCACCCCTGAAGCATCCCCCACAAGGTAGCTTGGTCGAAGCCCTCGTTTGCCTTCAAATTTGGGCCCACGACCTCCTCCAGGCCCTTCTTGCGCGGCCTTCATGAGTGGGTAAGGATTACGGCTATTGTTTCTAGCCTCAGTAATGACCTTGTTAGCGTACTCTTGGAATTGAATCTCCTCCTCTCTGAGAAGCTCCCCGTTGCGTTTGTCTAAGTCTAGTTCCGCTTCCTTGGCTTGTTGTTCTCGCTCCTTCACTTCGGCCTGGCGACAAAAAGAAAGAAGCTTTTAATATTTCAACGAATAAAACTCGTTACAATGCGGAATAAATCAGTATTTCTTGCCGTTTATACGGAAAACGCGAAACTCCCTGCCGGAAAAATAAATCGATTCGCGTCCATCCGTAACAAGGAGTTTGTTTTGTTAGTAGCTAGTTGGTACTTTTTTTTTATTATTTTTTTTTTATTGGCCCCTGATTGCAGTTACACACTTTTCGTGGTCCCCTCAGGGTATTATTGGATATTAGAGTACCTAGTAAGTCACCTTGCTTTACAAAAACACCGTAAGATAGGTTTTGGTTAGTCATCGTGGTAAATAACACTTTCAAAAGAGAAATGTAATGCATACTGCTAGTCTTACTGCAGTCGCAACATTGTGATCCACATCTGAAGTGATTAAATCGTGAAACAAACGATTGCATTTCAAAACCACCGTGTTTCTAACTATCTCATTGGCTAAACAATTATGATTAATATGTAACAAAGAATTGATATTTAAGTACTCACAATCTGTTGCGTTTGAAGTTCTTTGAGTTTCTTGCATTCGGACAGCTGTTCCAGACGTTTTTCTTCTTGTTTCATGTGGAACTACAAGATAACAACAGAAAAGATCAACTGATATCACATTTGTATAAAACAAA